GTAGAGTCCTTGCCGCACATGCATGCATGCATGAAGCCCTGGGAGTCCTCAGCACCACATACACAGAAAACCGCAAGTGGCTCTGTGGCTCAAGTGGTAGAGCTCAAGGATAGCACCTAGGCCCAGAGTTCAAGCCCCGTGACCGACAAAAAAAAAAAGAAAAGAAAAGAAAAAAAATGAAGGAAGTCGAGGCCAGAAATACAAAGGTTCTGTCCAATCTCCTTAAGATCCTAAGAATCAAAGGCTGGGGGCATGACTCAAGTGGTAGATCACTTGGTTAGCAAGCACAAGGCCCTGCATGCTCCGCTAGGGGGAAATCACAGAGTCAGCATCCTAACCGGTGCACCTTCTGTCTCCAGATTACTTTTCCAGGTTACTGATTACTGGAAGCAGACATTACAGTCTCTTATCTTGCCATTTATCAGGGAGAGAAGAGAGGTCAGGCAAAGCTCTTTAGTCAGATGCTTCAGTTCCAGGAACATATCTGTTAATCACAAATAAGATGGCTCCTTTGCCACACAGAAGGATCATTGTTGTCTTGCTAACTAGAACACATTAGAGCTGGTGTAAAGGGTTCTTTTCTGTTGTTTTACTTGCCCAGCATGTGCTCTGTCAGTGACCTACATGCCAATCCCACTGTCTTTCTTTTTCTTTATTTTCTTTCTTTTTCTTTTTTTTTGCCAGTTCTGGGGCTCGAACTCAGGGCCTGGGCACTGTCCCTGAAGTTAGCACTCTACCACTTGAGCCACAGCACCATTTCTGGCTTTTTCTGTCTATGTGGTACTGAGAAATTGAATCCAGGGCTTCATGCATGCTAGGCAAGCACTATACCACTAAGCTACATTCCTAGCCCTCCTCTTTCCTTTCTCCTCTTCCTCCTCCTCCTCCTCCTCCTCCCCCTTCCCTCCCCCCTCCTCCTCTCCCTCCTCCTCCTCCTAAACTGGGGCTTGAGCTTAGGGCCTTGAACTTCCCTTGGCTTTTTCCACTCAAAGCTGGTTCTCTGCGAGCCGCCCTTCCCCTTCTAGGTTTTTACTGGTTAATTGGAAAACAGAGTCTCATAGACTTTCCTGCCTGGGCTGGCTTTAAGCTGCAATCCTCAGATCTCAGCCTCCTGCCTCCAGCACCTGGCAACAATTTTTGTATTTTATACAAAATTCTATAAGTACCATTGAGATCTGGGAGCTGCACAGGATCTCCTGGGAAATCTCAGAAGGAAAGTACCTGGACCTGGTAGTTTTCAGTACATGGAAGTTTTGGTTCATTAAACTCTTATAAATCAGTTAAAATGTACTCTGGGGATATAAAAGTCAACTTCAGCCTCAGTCTCTCACACCAGGTGCACACATTGAGCAAGCAGTTAATTATGCACAGGACATCACCTGATTATTCTTCAACTCAATTCAGCTCTGACACTGCTTACCTGAAGAGCCCAGTTTGTCCCCCCCCTGCCCCGCCCCACTTTAGATGCCAGCCATGCTTCCTTAGGTAGTTTCTTGCTATAAATCTATAAGTCAGTTTCAACAGAGCCTCTGATAGACTCCTTTGATTTGCTTAAGCAATTCACAGAACACAGGGAAATGCTAACTTAAGATTTAGCACTTTTTGTTTGTTTGTTTGTTTGTTTATGCCTGTACTCGGCTTGGATTCAGAGCCTGTGCCCTGTCCCTTAGCTTTTGCACTCAAGCATAGTTACAATTGAACCAGGACTCCACTTCCAACTTTTTTGGTGATGAATTGGAAAGAACCTTAGGGACTTTCCTGACCTGGCTGGCTTCAAACAGAAATCCTCAGATCTCAGCCTCCTGGGTAGCTAGGATTACAGGCATGCTACCAATACCTACTTATTTCCCAGTTAATTACAGAGGATATTAGAAAGGTTTCAGAAGAAGCCAGACAGAGGGTAAGGCATGTAGGAAAGAGCTAGGAACTTCCGCACCCTGCAGGCAACATTACCTTCTAAGAATGCTTCATGCATTTGGCTATCTATCTGGAAGCTTCCTGGAACGCGTCCTTTTTGTTGTTGTTGCTTTGTGGGTTTTTTGTTTTTTGTTTTTTTTTTCACTTCAATGCCAGTCCTAGGGCTTGAACTCAGGGTCTGGGTGCTGTCCCTGTGCTTTTTTGCTCAAGGCTACCACTTGAACCATAGCTCTGTTTCCTGCTTTTTGGTGGTTAATTGGGGGCAAGGGTCTCATGAACATTTCTGTTGGGCTGGCTTTGAACTGTAATTCTCAAATCTAAGCCTCCTGAGTAGTTTAAGATGACAGGCATGAGGGGCTGGGAAGGTGGCTCAGTGGTAAAGCGCTTGCCTTGCATGCTTGAGGCCCTGGGTTCGATTCCTCAGCACCCATAAGCAAAAAAAAAAAGCCGGAATTGGTGCTGTGGCTCAAGTGGTAGAGAGCTAGCCTTGAGCTGAAGAGCTGAGGGGCAGTGCCCAGGCTCAGAGTTCAGGCCCACAACCGGACCCAAAATAAAACAAAACAAGATGACAGGCATGAGCCACTGACACCAGCTCCTTTTGGGTTTTGCGGAGACTTTATTGCATAGGCATGACCAAAACATGGATGGAGAATCATGTAGAAATGTGACTGGATGAAAAAGGTATGATCCAGTGGTAACAATCTGGGTGGGAAGGCTGGGAAGGCTTTGTTCTTAGTCTCAGTTTCAGCATTCCTTCTTGGGGCGGGGCGGGGGGGGGAGGGGACCTCTCTGAACTAAGGTGGGTCTGAGACTTACTATTAGTCAAAGGTCAAAAAATTTCTTTAAGGCCAGCTCCTTAGGAGGAAGGCAGACATTAGGGTTTCTTTTTGTTGTTGTTGGTTGTAGGGCTTGAACTCTGGGCCTGAGTATTTCAGTTCAAGGTGAGTGCTCTACCTCTTGAGCCACAGCACCACTTCCAGTTTTCTAATGGTTTACTAGAGATAAGAGTCCCACAGACTTTCCTGCTTGGGCTGGCTTTGAACCACGATCCTCAGATCTCAGCCTCCTGAGTAGCTAGGATTGCAGGCGTGAGCCACTGGCGCCCCGCAGATATTAGAATTTCTGTTACTTGCCTTGGGGAAAGTTATGAGCTAGAGTCATCAAACTAAAAGATTGTATCTCTTCTAGTACAGAAATCATGAGAGAGTATTGGTTTAAATAAATCTGCTATAAAAAACTTTTTCATTTGACCCAGAGTTCAGGACTCAACTCAGGGCTTTGCCAGACAAGTACTCTTCAATTGAGCTAAATCTCCAACCCCTATAAAAAGTGTTTTATCAGGTGACTATGTGTAACAGAATCTGACTTGTAAATCTGCATTCATTGAAATTTTACAGTGTGTTCTGAATTAACAGGAACAAGAGGGTTGTAAGACACACTTCCATAAAGCATAAATGTTTTGTCCTCAAATAGGTTCTAAGAAATATATTTGCAATCACCTCATAGAAACTCTTATGAACACTGAACAGTAACTGCCTAACTTTTATCTAATTGGCTACTTCTTGCTTCAATCTATCTTTAATATAAATTTGTTATTATTAAGATGTGGTACAGAGGGGTTACCATTTCTTGTCAGGTAATGAGTACAATTCTTGTTTGGACAATGTCATCCCTTCCTTTGCCCTCTCCTACTTCCCCTCTCCTATCCTTGCCCACAAGTTACACCGGTCATTTCCCACATAGTGCATAGCATGATTGCATTTGTTCACCCTTTCTCCCTCTCTTTCTGCACTCTCCTTTTGCCTGAAAGGAAGAAAGAAAGAGAGAGAGAGAAAGAAAATAAAACAAAAACAACAGGGCTGGGAAGGTGGCTTAGTGGTAGAGTGCTTGCCTAGCATGCATGAAGCCCTGGGTTCCATTCCTCAGGATCACATAAACAGAAAAAGCCAGAGAAGTGGTGCTATGGCTCAAGTGGTAGAGTGCTAGCCTTGAAAAAAAGAAACTCAGGGGCAGCACCCAGGTCCTGAGTTCAAGCCCCAGGACTGGAAAGACAAAACAAAAACAAAAACAAAAAAACCCCAAACCAGTAGCTTCAATGTACTTTTGAGGTTCTGAGAACTGAGCTAAGGCCCCCCACATGCCAGGCATGCTCTTTACTACTGAGCTTCAGCCCAGCCCTGGACCCTTGATTCTGGGCGGGTCGATGGCTCCCTCTCATGGTCCTGGTAACCAAAGGTGCCAGGCAGGTCACTAGCAGGAAGTTCTCTGCACAGGGAGGACGCCTGTCAGAAGCCAGCAGGGGGGAGAGGGAGGCCCCAACAACACGCCCCCCCCAACAGCCACCGTAAGCCAGTACTTGAAGAGGATGAGGCACCAAGCCGGCGACCCAGCACCAGCCAGCCGCGCCAGGCTGCACCGCGCGCGCGCACGGCCAGGTGCGTCCCCCAGGGGTCCCGTGGGCTGCGTGTGTGGCCGGGGACGAGGGGGACGACGACGCGTGCGTCCCGCCCCATGGCGGCGGCTCACCGAAGCGCACCACGGTTTCTTGGCGGGGCTGGGAATAAAGATTCTGATCGAACAGCCCCGGAGAGGAGGAAGTGGCTGGGGATGGGTGGGTCACCCAGGGGGCTCCCAGGTAGGGCGTTGCGGGCTTCGCCCACCGCTGGGGGGGGTCCCCACCTAACCAATGGGATTCTTGCCAGGAGGGGCAGACCCGATCCAGCCTTAGACCTCCTTATTCTTGGGCCCGGAGTCACATTTCGCCTCCGGGGTAGCCGAAGTTTCTAGACGTCGCGGTCCCCCAGGACTCCCCAGGAGGGTGGGCGCCGCGCCGCGCGGCCGCCGCCCCATCCTAACTTTTTCACTCCAAGCCTCCACCTTGGGCAAAGTCGAGGCAGCCAGGCCCCCGGAGGCCCCCGGGAGCCGGGGCCTTGCCGCCCTTTGCAGAGGCCACCCGTCCCCCTCCCCTCGGGCTTTTGCACACGACGCCCCGGCGGGCAGCCGCGGGCCGGGGATAAAGCTGACGCGCGCTGGGCGCAGCGTGGGCGCGGAGCGGGACGTGCGGAGCGGGACGTGCGGAGCGGGGCTGCAGCCCGGCGGGCGGCGGGGAGCCAGAGCCAGAGCCGGAGCCCGGGCCCAGGCCGGAGCCGCAGGTGGGTGCGCGTCCCGGAGTCGCCCGATGCGCCCAGCTTGGAGGCCATGGAGAAGCGGCACCTGCTGAACAGCCAGCGCCGAGCCCCGTAAGGCAGGCGGGAGCCTGGGAAGGGCCGGGATTGGGGCGACGATAAGGGACGCACCTCTCCATTAGCCGGCTCAGTGGTGGTTGGTTTTGGCGGCTGCCTAAAATGAGACTCGCCTGAGGGTTGAGTGATGCCAGCCCGAGAGAAATTGACCTTGGCCCCCTTGCAAACCTCCTGTCTTGCACAGATCCTGACCCCGCGTCCGGGAGGGGGGCGGGCAGACTGGAGCTTCACCCCTGCATTCTCACCCCCAGCAGCTCTGCCATGGAGAGGCCCTGTGTCTCCCCACAAATGGGCAGAGGAAGGCTTTGCTCTTCTGGAGCCAGAACTCCTTGGCTGGACCACCTGCCCTTGGCCGGTTCCCAAGGTCTTTCCTCTAGGCCTCTGGAGGGAGGGAAGGGCGGGAGGGAACACCCCTGCACCACACCTCCAACAACCCTGATTCACCTTTGCTCACTGCCCAGGGCCTGCTGAGCTTAGAGAGTTCTTAGTCTTTCCATTGAGCACGTGAGCTCATCCAGGCCCCACAGGGAGACCCAACTGGCCTCACCACTCCAATCCTCCACGCCTCAGGCCTCCGACTTTACTGTTTCTTCTTCCTTTCCCCCCTGACTAGGTGGTATTTAGGATCGCTGTGGCAGGAGGAAGCTATCTGGATCCCTCACCTGGACTTTCAGGCTGTTGAGCTGGCCACCCAGAGCAACCATAACACCCATTACTGCCATGCCCAGAAGGATCCTGGCAATCACGGTGACCCCAAGAAGGAGCGGGCCCGACGGCAGCTGTACGTGGCCTCGGCCATCTGCCTTGTATTCATGATCGGGGAAGTCGTTGGTAAGACTTGTTTGCTAATGAGATGATGTTGGTGTGTGGACAGCCTGAATGTCCCTAGGGATAGTAAAAGCAATAGGGTCCATGAATTGAATATTCCCTACACCAAACCTTCTCTATAGATATCATATCCTGTAATTCCACAGCAACATTGTACTGTCATGTGAGTGCTGTGGTTCTCCTTACTTATTTTTTCATTTATCGGCTCAGTTGTAGGGCTTAAACTCTGGGCCTTGCACTTTGCTGGTTTATCCGTTTATTTACTTTTAATACTGGTGCTCTACCAGTTGAGCCACAGCTTCACTTTTGGCTTTTGGCCAGTTAATTGGAGATGAGAGTCTCTCAGGATTTATCTGCCTGGGTAGGTTTCAAACTTTAATCCTCAGGTTTCAGCCTCCTGAGTAGCTGGGATTACAGGTGTGAACCACCTGCATCTGGCTTGATCTCCCTGCTTTACTGATGATAAAACTGAGCGAGTTAAGTAACCAACCTAAGATCACACACAGCTGGAAGGAAAGGGAAGAAGGCCTCACTGCCCAGAAGGCATTTACTGAATCTCCACCATGCTTTCCAGTCCCTATTTTTACTTGATTTTTCCCATTCACTCTCTAGATTCTGTTAACCCATTTTACAGATGGGAAGTTGAGGCTCAGAGAGTATAAGTCCCTTGCTTATTCTGTACAGTTAATGGGTAGAGAGATCTGGAACCCAGTGTGTCTTCTTCCTGCTGCACACAGTCTGGGAAGTTGGCTCTTTGGGAGAAGCAATAAGGACCCCTCACTCTCCTGGTCCTGCCTTGCAGGTGGGTACCTGGCTCACAGCCTGGCCATCATGACCGATGCTGCACACCTGCTCACTGACTTTGCCAGCATGCTCATCAGCCTCTTCTCCCTCTGGATGTCCTCTCGGCCAGCCACAAAGACCATGAACTTCGGCTGGCAGCGAGCTGGTGAGCCTCCTGATGAGAGATAGGGCAGGGAGGGAGAAGGAGTCAGAACAGGAGGTATTAGGTGGACCCTTTGGTGGGGCCAGGAGGGTGGCATTGGTGGGTGTGCACCCCAGTGCCCGCCCTCTGGGAAGGCCCAGTCTGATGGAGTAACCCTGGTTCCAGTCACTCGGAGGCTCCTCTTCTGTAGAGAAGCACAGTTGCTAAGAAAGCAGGAACTTCAAGAACAAATCGCAATGGCCTGCGTGCTGTCCATATAATCAGTGGACCAACTTGGGAGGGAGAGAAAGTTTAGCCAAGGCTTTTGAAAGACAGCAGCTTTTGAGTTGATCAGTTCACATTGGGATCGAGTTATTTTCCTTTAGTCCAGTGGGAGACGATCCGGCCTTTCCTCCTTAGAGCCTCCATTTGCCAGATGAGCCAGACATATATTTGAATGTCAGTTTCTTTCCAGGCCAAACAAGGCTAACCCAGGTGGTGTCTTAAGTTCCATCTGACAGTCTTGGATAGGAGGAGGGATGGCTAGGTAATTATCCAACTCCAAGTATCAAACCATACTGGAGTCCAGTGAGACCCAGGTCCTGACTTCTGCAGGGGAGAAGAGAGGAGGAAGAGGGGGAGAGGGCTTATCAGCCGAAAGGCTCGGTACCTAAGATTGCTGTTGGGGTCTGACTCGTCCCCAGAGATCCTGGGAGCCCTGCTGTCTGTGTTGTCCATCTGGGTCGTGACTGGGGTACTGGTGTACCTGGCTGTAGAGCGGCTGATCTCTGGGAACTATGAGATCGAAGGGGCCACTATGCTGATAACATCTGGCTGCGCCGTGGTAGTGAACATCATGTGAGTGCAGCCTCTTCCCCCTCCCCCCCCCCACCCAGCAACCTTTATCTGCTGGCGTTAGGAGGTCACGTGGTCCAGCCAAGTTTGTAGCCCAGCCCAGGCCGCAGGGACTGGATTGCTCTCTTGTTGTGAGCTGTTGGGATCTGCCTTAGGACTAACCCAAAGGCATCCATCATTAGAGATGTGTGAGCTCACAGTGGATTCTGTCCACTCCCAGCTCCCTGGAAGGGAATAAGCTTGAAGACCTCATGCCTGCACTGGGGAGGGATGAGCCTGGTTGATGTGGAGTAGATGTCCCTTGGGAACAACCCAGGTCCCTTTTCATGTTGTGGCTGAAACTGGTTTCAGTGGAGGAAGAGGTGGGAGCAGCCTGGGGGTCCTCTCCCTTGCTCTGTGGCCTCATGATAGAGTCCCTGGCTTCGTCTCCTCTTCCACAGAATGGGACTAGCCCTTCATCAGTCTGGGCACGGGCACAGCCACGGCCACGGGCACAGTCCTAGTGACACCAGCCAGGAGCAGAACCCCAGTGTCCGGGCCGCCTTCATCCATGTGATTGGAGATTTTCTGCAGAGCTTGGGCGTCCTGGTGGCAGCCTATGTTGTATACTTCAAGGTCAGAGCTGGGGACCGGAGGAGGGTGGGCCAGGGAAGTGTAAATCCCAACCATTCTAGCTCCCTCCCAGCTCTGCAACAGGGTTGGGAGAGAGAAAGAAAATGTATCTGTAGTAGGAAGACCCCTACTCAAGCAGGCAAGCCCACCTAGTCCTGAATGACAGAGCCCACTGCAACAAAGTTGTTAACAAAGAAGCAACTTTATTGAGAAGGTTCCTACACTGACCGGCCAGGGCCACAGCACAGGCTCGGGAGCTGATACTGCGACCTCGAGGGGCCCCCATTCTTTGGCTTTTAAAGGCAAAAATCCATGAGGTCGAGCCTGGTCACGCACAGGTGACCAATGGGATCGTAACACACAAAGGATTGTATGGTCATACCAGACCACACACAGGTAGCCAATAGGCGGAGTTTACAGTAAGCAAGTGTGGTGTCTCCTGTTCGAGCCAGATTACAACCTATCTGTTTTATGGGTCAGTCCTTAACTGAACAATCAAGTTGGGTTAGATTGTTAAGGGGAGGGGGACCTAGAGGCATTCTTTCCATTCCAGGAACTGGGCTGGTTGGAGCCAAGGTCTAGTTAACCTTGTTTAAAGGTTTTTTTTTCTAAAATCCTTAAAACAAAGGCAAAGCCTGGAAAGAAGCTGCACCAGCTCAAGTCTCCTCTCAGGGCCTACTTCATATCCCAGCCAGGCTCATGCTTGGAATCTTAGCTAATCCTGGAGGCTGAGATCTGAGGATTGTGATTTGAAGCCAGCCCAAGCAAGAAAGTCTATGAGACTCTTATCACCAGTTAACCACCAAAAACTGGAAGTGGAGCTGTAGCTCAAAGTGGTAGAGCACTATCTTTGAGCAAAAGCAGCTTAGGGACAGTGCCCAGGCCCTGAGTTCAAGCCCCAGGACTGGGGCTTGAATATAAAATGGGGGTGGTGAACCAGAATCCATCAAAGATCCTTTTAGTTTGTCCTAGACGCAAGAAGGTGCAGGGAAAGCCCGGGCTCTATCCTGAACTGTGGTCTGTTCTGCCTGTCCTGCAAGTGGACTACAGAATAGAAAACCGGGAAGCAGGACCGGGCGAGACTCATGCCCACACTGCAGAGAGAGCCGCCGCTATGGTGCTGGGGGCCGGGGAAGCTGAGTTGTTGTCTGGCTTGTTTTTCCCCTTTTCTGCAGCCAGAGTACAAGTATGTGGACCCCATCTGTACCTTCCTCTTCTCCATCCTGGTCCTGGGGACCACCTTGACCATCCTGAGAGATGTAATCCTGGTGCTGATGGAAGGTAACTGGGACCTTGGGGCTCCCTTTTGGCTTTAAGCTACATCATCAAAGAAGGTGTGTGTGTATGTGTAGAATCCTAGCACCTTGGTAGGAATCAACATCTAGAGCCTGGCTGGCAACATGTAGGCTGGCAAAACCTCCTGGGGCCCCAGGGAGATCTTGGCCTAGAGCTGGGCCCTCAGGTGTGCCAGTTCCTGGGAATGTCCCAGCCCGTGCCTGCCCTTCCCTCTGGCCCCTGCCTAGTCACGTGGCTTCTGGCCTCCACAGCACCTGGAGCTTGCTCAGTCCTGCTTTCCAGGACAGAGGAAGCTCAGGCTGAGGCTCAGCAAGGGGACTGGTCGTGTGGGGCCTGTTGAACCTGCTTCAGCTCAAGCCTTTCTTGCTAGGCTTAGGAACCCCTGTGCCTGCCTTGGGAGGAAAGATTGCTTACAGGTGGTGGAGAACGGGCTGCTCTGAACTACTACTCTTTAGTGAGAGGATCTTAGGTCTTGGGCCTCTGCACAGTCAGGACAGTTTGGAGTAGAACGGGGTGCTAGCCAGGGTTGGCAGAAGTATTTGATGGCAGATCAGAGCTTTTTTTTTTTCCAGGAAGATGACTGACCCAGATAAAAGTGAGGATAAGAATGAAACTGCCTTAGATAAGTTCAGCAGTTCTCCGGGTTTCATTCTTCCGTTCACTTACCACTAAAAACATGGAGCCAGGCATGGTGGTGTACACCTGTAATCCCAGTGCTCAGGAAGCTTATTGAGCATCTAAGGACAGGACAGGCACTGTTCTAGGCACTGAGGGTACAGTGGTAGGCAAAATAAACTGCACTGGTCTTTAAAGTTTCCACTTTAGAAGAGGAGACACACCTGTAAACCTAGCTACTCAGGAGGCTGAGATCTGAGGTTTGTGGTTCAAAGCAAGCCCAGGCAGGAAAGCTGGAGTTTTAGACTTTCCTTGGGGAATGGGGTGTGAGGAGCAGTTTCCTTTAGTCCCTGTGCCTGCCATCCTCAGGGACTCCCAAGGGTGTGGACTTCACAGCTGTTCGAGACCTGCTACTGTCGGTGGACGGGGTAGAAGCCTTGCACAGCCTACACATCTGGGCACTGACCGTGGCCCAGCCCGTGCTCTCGGTCCATATCGCCATTGGTGAGTGGTTGGGACACTCAGGCTGGGGTGAGGGAGAGAGAGGCAGCTCCAGGTCTGGGGCCAAGCCTGAATGTCTTGCCAACCCTCTGTCAAACACTTCAAACACTACTTCCTCTGAGCACGGAGATTTTACTTATCTATGAACAAACTGAGGCTGAAGAGAGGGTGGTTTTGTAAGGTTCTAGTCTTTCAGCCAGGCTTTTCTGCTCTCTTAGGCTTTGGCCAGTCACAGGGCCTAGAGGATTGTCCAGCTGGAGCGGAATCTGGGGTCTCTTCATGTCTGTGGTCTCCTATCCCATTTCCCTGGGGGTAGGCATGGGGTGTGGGCAGAGGCTGAGCATGAGTATAGAATTCTCTTGTCAGCCGAGTGCCGGTGGCTCACACCTGTAATCCTAGCTACTCAGGAGGCTGAGATCTGAGGATCACAGTTCAAAGCCAGCCTGGGTAGGAAAGGCCCTGAAATTCTTATCTCCAATAACCACCAAAATACCAGAAGTGGCACTGTGGTTCAAATGGTAGAGTGCTTACCTTGAGCTGAAGAGCTGAGGGACAGTGCCCAGGCCCAGAGTTCAAGCCCCATAACTCCCCCCCCACACACACACAAATTCTCTTTGCATCCCTTGTCTCTCTCCCCAGCTCAGAATGCAGATGCCCAGGCTGTGCTGAAGGCAACCAGCACTCACCTCCAGAGGAAGTTCCACTTCCACACCATCACCATCCAGATTGAAAACTACTCCGAGGACATGAAGGACTGTCAGGCATGCCAAGGGCCCTCGGACTGACCACCTGGGCCAGCCACCAACGGAAGCATAGCCAGGATCTGCAAGCGGCTGAACCTGGCAGGCCCAGCCAGGACTCATCTCACTCCACTGTGCTATAAACCAGGTTTATAATACCTTTCTCTATTCTAGGCCCAGTGCAGAGCCTGCCTACCTGACTAGTGGGATGCTTTCTGGATTCCCATCTGCCCCAGCTAGTCCCAGGGTGGGAAGAAAGCCAGTGTGTACAGCCAGTGTAAGCTGCTTCTTTTCCTGTGTCTACTCCCAGCATGGCTCTGGTCAGGTCTGATCCTCTGCTAATGCTGTCCTAACAAAATGGCAAAGGCATTGAGACACAGAGGACAGGACTGGCTGCAGCTTCCTTCCCTATCCTGCAGTTTTTACTTGATTCTGATTGCCCTAATGAACCTTTAAGATGCACAGGTACATAACTACCTGGCATAAGCCATGAGGATCTGGAGTTATAAGGGACTTCTACACTCATATGAGACACCCTGAGATTTGAATCTAGGGGACACCTAAGGCCTGTTTGTTAGTCCAAATGTGACTCTTTCCTAAAAGAAGAGACTTCTTACTAGATAAAAACTTAAAGCCGAGCATGGCTTGAGAGGACCAAAGCCTGGGGAGGAAAAAGTTTGAGAGACCCCCATATCTCAACAGAAAAAGCCAGATGTAGTGACGCACACCTGTCATCACAGCTATGAAGGAAAGTATAATTGAAAAACCCAGCCCAGGGCGATCCTGGCAAAAAGCAAGATCCTACTTCAAACATAATCAGAGCAAAAAAGGATTGGAGGCATATGTAGTTTAAGTGCCTGCCTGGGAAACAGGAAGTCCTAAATCCAAATCCCAGGGCCAAAAAAACCCATGAAAAACCTTCCATATTATATCTAAATGAGCCTCCTCAGTGGAAAGTAACAGTCTACAAAGGCGGCGGGGAAGCCACTTTTTCTTGATCGCGTTCAAGGGGATTACAGAGCCCGAAATCAGCCAGCTATGCTGTTGCCAGCATAGCATGACCTAGCCAATGTAGAGATGAGGGCATGGCCCAGGGGAGACGCTGGCTTCCTGGCCTTTACATACATGGAAAGAGTCCTGACTTGGGGTCTGCATTGTGTTTACAAGTTGCTATCCGGGAGGCCCTGTCCTCAGTCTCAGAGGCAGCTAGCCCAGTTTTAATGGAAGCCACGAGCCTAGAGTGTCCCTGCTAGTATAAACAAGTGTCCTTTGGCCAGTTGGTCTTTCTGTGCCTCTTATTCTCGTCTGGAGACCAAGAATGTAACACCTACCTCACGGGGTTGTTGTGAGGACAGAGCCAAAGTCTGCCAAGCACCTGGTGGTTGTTGGAGAGTGGTTCCTTTGATCATCGTCCTGGAAAGAGGGTGCTCTGTGTCCTGAGGCTGCCTGGGAAGGGCCCCCATCTCAGCCTTCCAGTCTAGCTTGACGCTCTTCTGGGATCTGATGGCAAGAGGAGGGGCTGGTTGGTTGCCCCTCCCACTTTTAAATAAATGACATCCATTTTAAGTTTGTGTGTGTGTGTGTGTGTGTGAGAGAGAGAGACTTGGTGTGTATATCTCAGGCCTTGAACTCATGATCTCAGGAGCTGGGATTGTCTTTTGTCACCAAGCCTCCCCCTTTGAGCCACTTTCTTCCCATGTGTAAAATGGCTTTTTTGTGCCTTACAGCACTGTCCCTGGGATTGGCTGTGTGTGGGGGGAGTGGGGGGGTTGTCCTTCAAGGTCTCTGGGTAACAATAGCACTGTAGCATGGGTCTGGAAGTATAGGGGTGTTTGTGGAGCACTCTACCCCAGTCTCCGAAGAATCAAGTGCTGTAGCTCTCTGCACACCCCGCCCCAGGAAGCTAGATCTCAGGCTTTGCTATTTTGTGTCAAGTCCTTACAACCTTCGGGAGAGAATTGCCATTGCCGTCCTCCATTTTTATGGATGAGAAAGTGGAAGGAGAGGCCAAGTCACCTGTCTGAAGTTTCACAGCTAGTGTGGGGTTCCTGTCTCATTCTCCTGGGCCGGCCAGTAACAGAACAGGCAGGGAACCTACCCTGAGCTGCGTGTTGTACAGTCTGAGCCTCTGAGCCCCCAGGGTCCTCCCCACAGGTACAGCCATGCCAAGGCCGCTCAGCTTTCTGCATTGGAAAGGCGCCTCTTTCCCCGGGCGGGGCCTGGCACTTGGGAGCCCTCCCCTCCCCTGGAAGGCTGCCTGGGCCGCAGCTGTGCGCTTCTTCACGCATCCCCAACTACTCTTGACCCTGGACCAGACCACTTCCCCCCTTCCTTCACACTCCAGTCCCCCCTGCGCGCGCCTCAAACATCAGGCAGCCCCTGTCTGCCAAAGGACGGCCACCCTGGACACCCGGCTGTGCCAGGCCCCAGAGAGGCCACCCGAGTCCTTCAGGGCTCACAGGTCAGCCTGGAGGAAGGGGGGTGAGGCCTCGGAGAGGCCTCTGGGGACACCATGTTCCAGCCAGCGGCCCAGTCACGGGAGTTTCCACGGGCATCGAAGCAGGAAAACACCCGACACCCTGGATGCGGACTGGACTTCCCTCCCCCATCGGAGCGGCCCCGGCACCCCGCGCCGGCCGCCTCTCCGCCCCGCGCAGCTGCTCTGGGGATATTTATGGCCCGAGTGCGAGGGGGCCAAGGTCGCGCGCTTTATTTCCGAAGTGATAATTCCAGTCCCAGGTGGAGGAACCCCAAAGAACCAGCGTCCCTCCCCTCCCCACCCGCACCCTACAGGGCGCTGGGGACGGCCCTCCTCCCGCCCCGTCCCTCTGGAAATGGCCAAGTGTGCCGGCCCAAACGGCTGTTCTTTCGGATTCCTCCCACGGCTTCTGACCGCCCCGGCTGTTCTTTCGGATTCCTCCCACGGCTTCTGACCGCCCCGCGCGGCGCCTGCCCGGGCCCTCCAGCGCCCGCTGCTCTCCCGCGTGGGGCTGTCTGGCTTTGGAGGCGGGCGCGCGCGCGCCCTCTGGCGGTCGGCCTGGGTCACGCAGGCCGCGGCGGGGCGCCCAGGCCAGCATGGCCCCCGCCCAGGGTCGACAGCGGGCCCCGTGCGTCCACCTGGCTTCCCAGACTCCAGCCTTCCCTGAACGTCTCCGCCTCCTGCTGGGGTGAGAGGACAGCCTGATAACCCAGGCGTCTGCAGATGGCCGCCGCCCTGGCAACTAGGGACCGGGGATGGGGGGCCGGGGCCGGGCACAGAGGTCCAGGTTTGGTCTGTGGGCACGCGCTGTGCCAGCGCGGCCACATCCACCTGCAGTTAGCCTCAGGCTCGATCTCTGCCTCTCTGCCGGTACCAGGACTTGAACTCAGGGCCTAGGCACTGTTCCTTAGCTTTTTCCGCTCAAGGCTGGTGCTCTACCATTTAAGCCATACTTCGACGTCTAGCTTTTTGCTGGAAGTTGAGCATCTCTCGGACTTTCCTGCCCCGGCTGACTCTGAGCCCCAATCTCATTCCCCTGAGTAGCTAGGAGTGAGCCACTACCCGGGGCTCACAGTCGTTCACCTATCAGTTCTTGAAAGATTCGCGGTGTTCCCTCCAGACCCAAGAGAAGAGGCCAAAGCCTTCCCCTGGGCGCCTAAGTGGAGCGGTGAATCCAGTGAGGGTACTGACAGCACCGAGGAGGCTGAACCCCTGGGGGTGGACGTGAGGAGGCTGAACCCCTGGGGGTGGACGTGAGGAGGCTGAACCCCCCGGGGGTGGACGTGAGGCTCAGGCGAGGACCTGAAAGACAAGTAGAAGCAAGCAGCTCGGGGGCAGGGGGTGGAGGGTGGGCGAAGAAGGGATGAGAGGGGTCCGCTCGGGCGGAGACACAGCCGCGGGGAGCACCCAGCCACCCGCACTGCCGGCCCCGCCCCCGGGAAATGTCTGCCCTGATTGGCTGATCGGGAGCGGACCCTTGGCCCACGGACTGTCAGGATTGGCTGTCGGGCAGGCAGGTGTCTTGAGGCTGCTGGGGCCCCCGGGGCGGCTCCCTAGGGCTTCTCCAGGCTGCGGTACTTCTTGCGCTGCACTGACACGGGATCCTTGAACAGCACGGGGTCCAGACGCAGGCGCGAGGACACCAGGGGCATGTGGCCGAACTCTGCCACCACCTGGTTGATGCAGTCACCAGCCAGGAGCTGCGGCTCCTGCCCAGTCCCGGGACCCGCGGGAGCCTAAGAGGTGAGGAGTAAATACATAGATGGGTTTCTCTGTTCTGAGCTCCCACCCCACCCCCTCAGCAAGGACTGGCATTAGACAGGGGCAGGAAGCCCTCCCTCCCTCCCTCCCCCAGCGGGTGCTCTCCCAGTGCCCACCCACTCCCCCCAGCGCTCACCAGTGGAGTGTCCGGGTGCCTCCGGACATAGGGCACCTTGATGGGGGGCAGCTTGGTGACGGCTGCTGCTAGGAAGTTCATCAGTACGTCTGCACAGCTGGGTGCCTCATCTGCCAGGGTTCTCAGAGCCTTGGGCATGGAGTGGGTGAAGAGAGTGTGGTAATATCTGGGTAAGTGGGGAGAGGAGGACAGGGAGAGGCTGCAGCCTCGTGCACACCTTTCTCCCTGCTAAAGTCTCTCCCTTTGACCCCCATCCTCACCACTTATTTGAAAGCCCTGCTGCTCAGCCCCCTGGTGACTCTCAGAAAGACCTGTCTCAAGTGTCAGTAGTGCTCATTTGTTCCCTAGTTTGTCCTCAGGCAATGCTGTGTCTCTGTGGGGTGGGATTCTCTCCCACCCCCCCCCTCTCATTCTCCCTCCCTCATCTCCTGGAGGCGCACAACCTGATTGCCAGGGTCTAAATTCTGATACAGACCAGGTTTCAAAGCCATGGGATGTGGCCACTTCAAGCACAGCATTAGGAAATGCGGTAGATTAACCAGGCTCAGGTTGCCCAGAGTAAGCCTCACATAACAGGAGTGTTATTCTTCACTCTACTGCAAGTTCCCTGAGAGCTCCTAGATAAGTCTACAAAAGGCTCCAGATTACAGAGAATGAATATTTTAAAACCCATTTAAAGAGACCCTCCAGGCCCCAACCCAACACTCCTAATGTGTTATGCACAACTGATGACTTCAGGAAGCTTCCAATAGGTCTGGGATGATCCCCAGACCATGAAACCCACATTTACAAAGCATCAGAACCATTCTCTTGTCAACCCATCACCAATACCAACTCTAACACTGTTGTCTGATAAATGGTTCTACTTAAAACAACACTAGCTACACGTTTGTCCTGTGACTTTACTGGGTAACTATAACAGCAATGTGAGGCAAATATACCCCATTTTACAGATGAGGAAACTGACACTCAACAGAAGTGAGGAGACTTGCCAGAATCACAGAACTGGGAAATGGCAGCTCTGAGCCTTAAACCTGGATCTCAAAGTCTCTCACCCACTGATCTTATACTAGGGCCAGCATTTGTACCTATGGTAAAAGGCAGCTGTGGTGAGAACCATGGAGAATTCATTGGTCATCTTAGCAGTGTAGCCCCAGACACCCTGGGCCTCATTCCACAAGTGGTTCCATGTCAGAAAGCCCACCATCCGCTCTGGAAAGCTCTGCCACACGGTGAAGGCAAAGTCCACCTGGAGAGGGATTTAAGTGAGCTGCGATGAAGGACTTCTTGACTAATAAGGAACATCATTGTTCCTTTAGCAAGGCCAGCCTGGCTAAAGAGCTGAAGCAGGGCTCAGGGGAGAAGGAATGGAGTTGGCCACAAGTGTAACATTTCCCGCTCTTGGTGTTATGCCTCTCCTGAGTTTCTACAGGGGTGACCCACTCACTGGCTAGCTATGGTGGTTTCCAAAGCAAGAGGTTGGATCTTAGGACCTCTGATCCTCCCAATTCTGGGAATCTGAGGGGGAGACTCAGTCCTCACCACACTGGGTTCCCCTTGAGCCTCGATCTCACCTCACTTGTGGAGAGACTGATGTAAGAGTCAAGGCTGAGGATGGCATTGGTGCTGATGGCTCTGTATGGGAAGAAGCGATCACTGGCCTGCAGTAAGAGAGGGTAAGGATAACTCAGTCACAGGACTGAGTTAATAACAGGTAGGAGTCCTTCAGGAACGGTCGTGAGTATGGCAAGGCTGCCAAGAGCTCATTTTATCTCTGGATTTCAATTTGCTCTTTGGTCAAATGGAGCAGTTCACGGTTTTAGCTGGTGTCGTTAGTTGTTTTGTTAGCACTGGGGCTTGAACTTAGCGCTGGAGCACTGTCCTTTAGCTTTTTCTGCTCAAAGCTAGTGCTTTACCACTTGAACCACAGCTCCACTGTTAACTCTTTGCTGGTTAATTGGAGATGAGTCTCATGGACTTCCTTGCCTGGGCTGGCTTTCTACCATGGTCCTCACATCTCAGCCTCCTGAGTAGCTAGGATTACAGGCCTGAGCCCTTGGTACCCAGAGGTTATTTAGTTTTAAGATCTTGGGTTCTCTTTGCATCAACCTAAAAAGGGGCTGGCAAACATCCTCATTTAAAAAAAAGGGGGGGGGCTGGGAAGGTGGCTCAGTGGTAGAGCGCTTGCCTTGTATGCATGAGGCCCTGGGTTTGATTCCTCAGCACCCATAAACAGAAAAAAAAAGCCGGAAGTGGTGCTGTAGCTCAAGTGGTAGTGTGCTAGCCTTGAGCTGAAGAGCTGAGGGACAGCGCCCAGGCCCAGAGTTTAGACCCCATGACTGGACCCCCCCCCAAAAAAAAAAAACAAGGGAGAGAGCAAGGGAAGCGGTGACACTGTCCAAAAAGAAATGTACTCTTAACCTTATTTATGTAACCGTAACCCTCTTATAATAACAATAAAAATTAAAAACAAGTCTAAAGCCAGGCGCTGGTGGCTCAGGCCTATAATCCTAGCTACTCATGAGGCTGAGATCTGAGGATTGTGGTTCAAAGCCAGCCTGGGCAGGAAAGTCTGTGAGACTCTTATCTCTAATAAACCACTCAGAAAACCAGAAGTGGTACTGTGGCTCAAGTGGTAGAGCACTAGCTTTGAGCTGAAGAGCTGAGAGACAGCACCCAAGCCCAGAGTTCAAGCCCCACAATGGACAAAAAACAACAGCAGCAACAAATAAACAAAAAAAAAAAAAAAACAAGTGTAGAGGTGAAAGATTGTACCACAAAGTACACAGCCAGCGCAAGGTCTCACTCAGGTTCACAGAAACCACCCCTTTCCAGCCCAATTTCCTGCCCTTTGTTCAGACTCCCCCAGGATCCCAGGGTTCTCCTCATCTTTCTTCTGGGACATCCATGCTCTCCTCTGCCTCTCTCATCACAGGAACCCCAGTGCTCTGGAAACACAGCTACCAGGACCAAGGAGCAGAAAGAATCATAGATTGTAGACCTTAGCAGAGCCCATGATCCAACTTCTTTAGGGACCGCACCCCCTCCCCTTGAAATGCAGCTCAGCTCAGGACCAAGTGAGTGGAACACTCCACGTGTGTGTGCTCTCCCAAATCACCCCCACAAGCCCATCCCTTCCATGTCCCACCCCTTCCTCACCTTCCTGCGCCCCTCAATGACTGTCAAGGGCACTGCTGACTCCGGCCACCTGGGCGGGAGTGGCCTCTCACTGCTCCAAAGAACCACAATCTAGGAAGAAAGTGGAGGGCATCGATGAGACCTGGGTCTGGGGCAGAGGAGAGCCCAGGAAGGGCCTTTCTCAGAGTGGAAACAGCAGGGGCCAGAAGCATGCCCTCTCCTATGTTTGTGCTCAGGATCCAAGGTCCTTTTCTTGATGCCCTGCCCCTGCCTCTGGCCTTCTGGCAGGCAAGCATTTTGGTGCCGTTGTGGTGGTCCCTACCCTTGACTTTGACCCCATGCTCGGCTGCATCCTCTCTAAGGTTTACATTCTCCACTGGCTTTGTCCCTCTGGAGCGGTTCCTCCTGGGCTCTGGTTGAGCTTCCTTCCCTCTGACTTTCCTAGAAGCCAGATTTGACAGCCTGTATGCCAGCAAATGCTAGGGGAACCCAAATTCTGGGCAGAATCCTCTCTTCCTTTTTCTTTGCATCCTCAGCATTGATCCAAGGGCTTGGCTCAGAAAAATCCCTGATGAATGAGTTAGTGAATGAAGGAATGAATGAGTGAGTGAATGTTTACTTCTCCATCCTCTCCAGGAGGAGAGGAAGGGAGCATGAAATCCTCCCACATCTCCCCCACAAAATATATGATCATCTTTGGGGCCTAGGTCTCTACCAGGGCCCTGGTCTGTTTCTTGTCCTCGACCCCATCCAGATGCCAAGGGAACAAACCTGGGCACAGTACTGGGAGCCTGCCACTGCCTGGATAAGCTTCAGGGGGGTCTGGCCAAGAGCTCCCACCCAGATCAGGGCGCTGAATCTCTCCTCAGAGTGGGAGCCTGGAGAAAGAAAACACAGGCTTTTAGGAGGGAAGAAGACAGAGCAAACTGTCTTGGGGTCTTCCATTCAGAGTGAACTGAATGAGGACCCCAAGATCCAGTAGAGATGTTATAGGCTCAGGCAGGATCCTGACAGGGCGGGGACAGACCCAAGGAGAGTTGAGGGGACCTCAAGCTGTCCTTTCCCCAGGACATACCCTGTTGCAGGTGGTAGAAGGGGAAGTCCCCGGGATTCATGGCAAAAGTGGGCGGGGCCAGGAGTGCCCCTGGGGGGCTGTTCCACAGCAGTGCGGGGTGAGCAGATGCACCAAAAATCCGGTCTTGAATAATCTGTGAAAGGACAGGGCCTGGAGGAGGACCTGGCACAACCCAGCACCCTCCTTCAGGCTTTGCCATGCCAAGGCCCCAAGGTGGGCAGAAAGGTTGAGAAGTGCAGAGGAGAGGCTGTCCTTGAGAGGGGTCTGCACCATTGACTCCACACCTCCCCTTCTTCCCCCCTTCCAGGCAGCCTTGGCTAAGTGGTCACGCCATTCTGGACACAGAATCAGAAGAATCTGAGATTTTTTTTCTCCCTACCCAAGCACCCCAGGCAGTCACTGCCCTCAGCTACAGTTGGCACATGCTTTGAATCAATTTGCCACAACAGGTGTAAACCAGGTCAAGACTGCAGAGAAATATGCCCACGATCTCACAGTCCAATCGGAACCATCATCAAAGAAGGAACCCCAACACTGGAAAGAGGTGTCCAGGAAGAAAAGGAAAGCAAGGGGGGGAGTGGGAGGAAGCAGGAGTCTGCGCCAGGCCCCTGACAGGTGACCCCTCACCTCCAAAGTCGTGTAAATGACTTTCTCCACTGAGGAGAAGTAGGCGTCCCATAGAAACTGTGTCTGCTGCCGTAAGGCAAGAACCCGCTCAGCGGGCATCTCCTGCAGGGCGGCTAGGACCTGCGGCACAGAGGGAGGACAGGACTTTGTCAGGCCCTGGAAGGGGGAAACTGAGGTTGGATGTTCTGGAACCAGATGTTTGTTCTCTTCCCACAGATCTCAAGTGAGAGAGCCGATGGCCACTTGTAACCACTCGTAACCAATGTGGCAACTGAGTTCAGGGGTCACCAGCTGTGTTTAAAGGCCACTTCATAACCTGCAATTATGCTACTGTACAAGGCTGTTTCCACATCTGTGAAAGGGGAATAACGGTATCTCCCAAGGGTGCAGGGAGGGATTAAATTAGACGGCACTCACGGGGTACTGGGCCCATGCGGAGGCTCGGTGACCAGATGATGGCTTTTATTAACTCTGTGCCACTTTCTGTCCCCAGAGGATGCCAGGCAGAGCCACGCATGTTTTTCAGCGCCAGGGAAAATTAGTTTTCATCAGACGGCAGAGTCTGCTGTGCATTTTTGCTTTCTCATCCCAAGTCCCACAGTCTGATTTGGGGTTGTTTTGTAGCTTTCCCTTAAATTGGGTGTTTTATAAACAGTCACTAGAGCTAGGCCCTGTGGAGATCATATGGTTTAATATTCCACATGGGGAAATGGAGGCAGAAAGAGGATCGGGACTTGCTCTTCATACCCTCAAGAGTCTCTATCTCCATCTGATTTCTTGGGAACCCTTCAGAGAAGCTTGGAGCTTGGAGGAAACTTGTTAAAATATATAGATTGGGTGGAGGGATAGATATGAGGACTAACTAGCTTGGAGTTCAGGAGTCCAAGGGTTTCTTCCACCCCACAGGCAAGGTCCTGAGCTACCTGAAGTGGGAGCCGTTCATCAGCTACAATGGCTGCCTTGGTCCAGTCAATGACCTCCGAGAAGGGCAGCTTCCAGCGAGGGCTGAAGAGCACGGGGATGCAGCCGGCCTGGAGGACAGGGCAGTCAGCAGGGGGCCCATTTCCACCCTGCACACACTCAGCCCCCCTCCGGCATGGTGTACAAGGCAGTAGCTGATGCTGTTAGAAGCAAAGGGGCAGAGAGGAAGAAAAATGCTCCTTTTAGAGGTGGGGGAGCAGGGACAGAGGGTTGTTCTACAGGAGGTGTGAGCAGGGCCACAGGCAAGCTGAGCTCCAGAGTAAAGAACTAGACAGGTAAGGGCCAGTGCACCTGCCGGGGAGACTGAGGAATGGGGTGCCCAAGCTGGCTCATACCTGCAGAGCTTGGAGGAAGTGTGAGGCTTCAGGTCGGTGGCCAGGGATGAGACAGAAAGTGGCATTGGGCAGCGTTTCTCCGGGATCGTTCCTAAGGAGGCACAAGAGGGGTCCCCATATTCATGAGTCTGGGGTAACTGCCCCTCACCCAGCCCAGCTGCCTCAGTGGCCCCCAGCACTCTTGTACACCCACCATGGAGTGTTCTCTGAGCTCAACAGCAGCCATGTGCTGACACACTGGAGACAGGAGCCCTGGGTTCTAACTCCCTCTCTGCCCTTGGCAGCTTTAGACACCTCCTTGGCCCTTCACTGGGCCTCAGTTTCCTCATCTGCAAACTGGAAGGGGCCTGGTGTTTCCCAGATTTCTTCCACTTCCACTCTGCCACATGCAGACTCTCAGGCACTGCTCCACCTGAGTGGCTCCCACAATCCAGCCTGCCCCGCCCCAAGACTCAGGGCCCATGAAAGGCCTCTCTGTCATGAGCTAGGCTGGGCTTCTGGCCTGGAACCACACAGGAACCTGTTGCCAGAGGCCCCCTCAGCCTGAGGACAGGCCTCCTCTGTTTCTCTCCCACCCCACCCCCATCCCCAGCTCCATGGTGTGCCTGTGAGGGAGGGGCCCGATTGCCCACCCAGGGAACCCGTGCCCATGACCCCGCTGGGCAGAGAGGACCTTGGGCTCCCCGGCTTCCCAACTCTGCTCTTCCAGAAGCAGACCCGGGACAGCCTCCGGACAAACACCCACTGAACAAATGGGGAGACTGAGCCCTAGAGAAGATTGGGGCAGAGCCGGGATTGAGATGTGCCAACTCCAGACTCCAGTAATTTGAAATACTTCTAGGGGCTGTTTAGGGCTCTCCAGGGGACCCCAGCCTTCTTTCTCTTCAGGTGCTCAGGTATTTGCCAGGCTCCTCATGGAGGAAGCTATGAGATCAACCCCAGGACCTCCTCCATCACCTCAGATGCCCTCCATCACCTCAGGACCCTTGCCTCTAGACACAGTACCTGCTCTGTGTGTGTGTGTGACCTACATACTTTCTGCTTGCACACACACACAGCTTCTCAGAGGAGACACACATAAAACAAAATAGTGTTTGGGCCCAGGAAGGAAAACTGGGTGGTCGGGAGTCAGGGGTGGGAAGGAGACTTTTTACTGTGTACACTTTCGTACCTTTGGAATTCTGTACCCTGTGAATGAATTACCTATTCATAAAAATAAATAAAAAAAACAAATTCAATGGGTGGGCCCTTATTCCAAAGCAACAGAAGGCTATTCAGCCAAGGTGGAAAAACAGAAGCTTCGGAGCCAGACGTCCAGGCTTTAATCCTAGCTCCACTGCTTTCAAGCGTCTGGTCAGAAGGCGCTGGGGGGGG